AAATTTCCTCTCAAATCACTGCACTATGTCATGAGGATTCCTATTCCATAAGAAAAACCAAAGTGAAATTCAGCTGAAATTCTGCACTCACTTGAAATCTATACCTCATAAGGTTACATTTAAGCTTGCCACTGTTACTCCATGGAAGACCTTAAATAAATAACGGTGCAGCATAATGCTATTATAGAAAGCTACAAAATACTACTTAGAAAACTATGTGTTTCCATATTAATTAAGGTGAAAAAGAATGTTGTAATATTTCTAAATTGCCTTTTCAAGTTTAAATAACCCGCACAGGTAAGGTAAAAGTTATAAATGATAGATAATACATTTGGTTCCAAAATTAAAGAAGATGCCTGTAAAGTACTCATAAACACTGCAAAGTTGTTTTTGTATTGATCAGAATACCCTTGGTTACAAGAGACAAAAAACAGATTTAACTTGCTTAAGCTAAAACAATAACCCACATTAGATTGAGTTTGAGAACAATGAGGAGACAGGGGAGATGAACTGAATGCATTTCCATCTTTGCTTCTAGTGAACATCAGACACCAAACATAATTGAATCTCCAATAGTTCTGTGCAGGAGCATCCCCAAACTCTAACTATATGCCACATCTCCACTTAAGATACACATGTGACTTTTTCTGTATACACACAGCAAGCTCACCAGTTGTAAAAGTCACTTGAAATTTAAGCCATAAGAAACATTATTCCCACTACGTACAAAGAATTCTCTAGGTAATCACATTTAAGATTCACAACAACCGTGAGAGATATTTTCATCCCCATTTTACAAGCAGCAGTGATACCCTTTATAGCCTTTAACACAGAGGAAAAGACCTCAGAAGAGCAATAATTCACTGTTTCTGCTTGTACTTGTCTTTCTATCTTCTCCCCTCCCTATACCCAACGTTTTATCTTAATAACTGAATGCTTCAAGACCTTCCACCACAATACTGTGATTGTCCCATTTATTTAATATTGATGCAAGGGCACATTTAATAGATTTCTAAACTCAAGCATTAAACATATTTTTGGAAAAAAGCATGACAGCACATTAAGGATTTGACCTATATTAGTTCCTCTATAGATTGGTTTGTGCAACTTTTCTAAGGTATTGAATGTTTAACAACCCTCTAGGATCTTTTTTAATCATTTAATGCCATTACAAGTCATCTTCCTTTTCTTTTACTCCCCCTTCCTTTTTTCCTTTTCTTGAAACTAAAGGAAAATGTTCTTCTCTTAATCTCTACTGAAAACCAGGAGATTTTCACCCACTGACTTACTCATACAACAAAGTTGCTCTTTGCAAGCACTGAGGATAGCACTGTGAACAAAAGAGGCATGGTCCAGAGCAGTCTGGCTTGGCACAACTCCAGAGGGTGTCACACAGAATATAATGTTCCTGAACTGGTGCCTACAGACTGATTGAAGCATTATTATAAAATACACTCTACAAATACAAGACTGATTGAAGCATTATTATAAAATACACTCTACAAATATACTATTACTATTGTTACAGTTACTACTTCTGATCTCGCAGTGATAAAATATTTTTAATAGAAAAGGTACTAATCACAAAAGATGAACTGACAGAATAGAATATCTTAAAGTTTTTTATTTCTGTTCATTAAAAGATACCATTAAGTTTTATAGTGTCTATTAGGAATGATAAAAATAATTTAGAGATTGTGGTAATAATTGAACAACACTGTAAAGTGATTATTATCACTGATTTGTATCCAGAAAAGGTCTATTTTAGGTTTTATATATATATATATATATATATATATAAAGACTTGCTTTAAGTCTTTACCTGCACATTTCTTTTTTTTTAATTTTAATTCTCTATATATTGACACCATTGCTCATTTTCATACACTGTATGCTTTATCCACTCAGATATGGTTCCCAAGAGTTCCCACTACCAATTTACCCATGTACCATCACTTTAGTCCCTTGTGTTCTTCCCACGCATTTTGATCCAGTTCTCTCCCCACCCTCCTGAAGAATGTCTCTGGTTTATAGCTGACTAGCACATTTTAAATTAGTGAATTGCATGGCATTTGAATTATATCTCTAAAAGTTGCCCAGAAAGTAACCATTAAGAGTAAGAAGGCAAGATATAGAGTGGGAGAGAATATATAAACATGTTTAATTTTTAAAAACCACACACATATATTTAAAACACATATATTTAGGTACCTCCCTGGTGGTGCACTAGGTTATAGCACAGCACTTTGAAGCTATCCACAGCCACAGCAGCACGAGTTTGATCCCTAGCTAGGGAGCTGAAAGACATGGTGTAGCAGACCTCTCCAGTCCCACCCGTTGCTCCTCTCAGCAGTGTATTTCACTTGTCCTGCCTGTTCTACTCCCCACTTTGTGTCTGGTGAATCCTCTCATTCCCACCCCCTCACTCTGGCCTGTACCTCAGTTCTTGTATATATGAATAAACAATTCTTTTTAAAAAGACAGAAAGAGCATACATTTAAAACATACAGAGAAGTCCCACAAAACAAAACAAAAAAAGACTGACCTCAACAGAAAAAATGAGTATGCCACTTCAACACACATCATGAAAGATACCCAGATGGCAAATAAACATATAAAATAGTAATCTTTAGTAATCATTAAAGCCATATTGAATGACTACTACACAAAGACTAATATAAAATATTGGTGAGAATGTCAAAGAACTACCATTAAGTACTGGTGGGCCCAATGGCCTGAGTTACATCCCTGACCAGAAGCTAATCTCTCCTAGCTTTCCAATTTAGGGAGAAAGAATTAATTCTCTTACCATTATGAATAGTATTATATGCAGATGTTTTGGATAGGAGGAACTTCCCCTCTATTTCTAGTTTTCTGAAAATTACTATCATGAATGGGTGTTGAATTGTGTCAAAGGCTTTTTTTACATAAATGAATATGATTATATGATATTTATTCTTTAGTCTTTTCATATGGTAAATTACATTGATTGATTTTTTACATATTGAACCAAAATTGACTTCATATACTAAATTCTATTGACCAGAATGTTTAATTCTTTTAACATATTACTGAATTTTATTGGCTAATACACTAGTGTTCCCTTATTTGTAGTTTAGCTTTCTTTCTTTCTTTGATTTGGTTTAGCTTTTCTTGGTTTCAGTTACCCAGATCAACTGTGGTCCTAGAACATTAGATAGAATAAGATATATTTGAAGAGTGAAATATGGATGGTCACATAGATTTTATTACAATATTTTTATTATATGTGTCCTTTTTATTATTAGTTATTGTTGTAATCTCTTAGTGTGCCCAATTTAAAGGTTAAATTTTATTATAGATATGTATGTGTAGGAAAAACAGTATATGTAGGGCTCGCTGGTTTCAGGCGAGCCCTACATATACTATGTATTATAACTAAATAGTATTATAACTAAATTATCAATACTTTTAACATATGTCCCCATGAATAAAAATGTAATAAAATTAACTTTTTTTGCTGCTTTATTAAGGCATTTTTAAGGATAACTGGCCTGTTTTTCTGCAAATACTTAAGAGACATACAATGCCAACTAGATAGTTTCCTTGATTCTTATTACATTACAAACAGTTGTTATATGACTAAGAACTTTCTGTATTAATTTTATGTGCTTAAAACTTTATATGCATTAACTCATTTCCTTCCCCCAACAGATAACTTAAAAACGTATTTGTTTATTTATTTATGCACACAAGAACTGGGGTACAGGCAAAAGGGGGGATGTATGTGAGAGACAGGTGCGGCGCAGAATAGGTCTGCTGTGCCATATGGGTCAGCTCCCTGGCCCAGGTGGCTAAGGCTGCTGATAGCTTCACAGTTCTGCACTTTAACCCCCGTTCCACCAAATAATTTTTAATTCTATTTTTCTCAGGAAGTAAAAGTCCCAGATACCACTTTCTCTACCCATTCATTCCATTTTTTTTTTCTTGCCTTAATAATGAAGAGATCTCCATTTCCTAGATAAGGTGTCAATCCTTTCATTTAAGCACTGGACCCCATCTTTCCAGGACTTTAACTCCATCCAATATCCTCTTTGCTGTATTGAAAACCCCTCCCTTCCTATTAGTTACGTTCTGTCGAACTGCTTAAATTTCTGTCATTCAAAAGTTTGTCTCACCTGTTCCAGTGTCATTCTCACTACTCTTTTCCTTAGCCATTGTTCACATTCACTCGGTTTCCTAAACTTCCTGTTCCTTCTCCATGAAAGCCTGACACTTTATATCCTCTCTTCTTTAAGCTTCTCTGACATCATGTCCCTGTGAAAGTTGAGGTAAGTGACACAAGAGACCTAAAAGGAAGGACACAAAGTTATAATAAAAGAGGGTATGAGAATGCCAAGGAGGCAAAGGTGAGTGGAAAGTGTTACATTTTTATTAGCACCAGGTCTAACCCACACCTTATTTTTACATTTTTGGATGGGACTTGGGAAACAGAAAAAGAGCTACTCGGGGCATTAAAAACTAAATGACCGTGATTTTTACTTTCTCTTCCCCTTCATTTTCTCCCTCTTTCCTGGCCCGGTCTTTTGAGAGCCTGAGAAACCTAAGGAAAAGCTAGAGTAAGGGCCAAGCAACAGACAGCGGGGCCCGCCCGGCGCTGCTAGGAGTGCAAGCTGGGTCGTGCAGACCGCCCCCGGTGGGGGTGGAGGAAGCACTTAAGTTGCCTGCGGAACCCAGGAGCTGGGCCGCGTTGTACCTCGGTTCGGGGCCGCTGGGCGGTGGACGCGTGTGCGCTTGCGTGACTGAGCTTCCGCTTGCGTCGTGCCGAGACTGGGCGCTGGGAATCCTGGTCTCGGCTTTTGCAGCAGCTGGTTCCTCAAGCTCCCAAGGTCGGCGCGGAACACACGAGGCGGTTGGAGACTGGCTGGGGACTCAGTCCGCAGCGGCAAACGAGGAGTGCTAGACCGGCCTGGCTGGCTGTGCCCTTTGCTCTATGCAGCCACTGTCCGGCCCCGGCCAGAGCTGACGGAGGTGTTGGGTGTTGGGTAGGGAGATAGAGAAAAGATGCTGGTTAAGTAAATTTCTCTGCAGATCCAGTGCCTTTCAGTCCCGCGATCCCATACTGCTGGGGTGGAAAAATGAAGAAATTAAGGCTTAAGGAACTAGAGAGTCGCCTACAGCAAGTAGATGGATTCGAAAAGCCCAAGCTACTTCTAGAACAGTATCCGACCAGGCCTCATATTGCAGGTAGGGTGGCTGGTGATCACGCCCTTGTTTGGCAAGTTAGCCCTAACTGAGTGATGAAAATAATTATGTGGATACAAAAAACGTCTAGAGGAATTCTACCCTAAAGCTAACTGATCACTTTAGGGAGTCACTGACTTTATACGCGTTAACTCATTTCATTCTCCTAACAGGTATCTTGACTCTATAACTAAAAAGACCCTCCCTACCCCTCACTACACCCTCCCCCGACAGTGTTCTTCATACCCCTTGACGGACATTTTTCAATGTATTTTTATCTTTCATTACACTGTAAAATCCCGGAGAGCAATGAATTTGTTGCTCTTGGTCATACTAAATTCCCAGTGCTTAGAGGAGTTTCCAGTACTATTAGGAGCTCAGTAAATAGTTGCTCAATGAGGATCAATTTCTTACTAGAGTTGTTAGTATGAAGATTTCCATGCTATATAGTGCCCTAAAAATGAATACTAGAGTTTTTACCTGAAGGACTGGGCTTAACAAATCCACTGTAGATGCTATAAAATATAAGAATGAATTTCAGCGATCTGAGGATCAACGGTATTCCTTAATGTGAAAAATAAAGGGGAGAACATGGAATAAAAATATTCAATAAATTGTCAAATTCACTGGGGAATCTTAGAAAATTTAATGTGTTGGGAACACAGTGTAATGAGGAATTCCTTTCCACTTCAACACATTTCTGTTTCTAAGCTGCCAATAAAAAAAAAATCAAGGAAAATGCATGCATACCTACATTTAATTGCAACATAGTCATAATTGCAGCCCAAAATTAGCACAAAACTATGGGTTAAGATCTGTTTTCTCAAGTAAGTGATTACTTCTTTTGTGTCTTGTGACTATAGGGCTTCAATTAAAAGAGTTCAGATTTGGTTTTTACCTAAGAGTTGTTTCACACCAGTGTACAACATATAAAAGTAGTGTGCTCACTCTCTGAAATACCAGCTTCAAAATCACCAACACATGTAGCAGCAATCAGGACAGCTTAGTCAACCTGAGATTTCCCTATAATTGTGTATTTGATAAATGTGTTGGATCCTGATGTATCAATGATGGCCAGTAGTCCTTGTTGGGTTCTGATATCCATAAGCAGATGACAATGGTGTTACTCTTGCTTTAAGTTTCAGACTTGTGTATTTGAAAAGATCTCTTTGTGATCTCAGCTGCTTCTGCTCTACTTTAGTATCAGACCCCATTAGGAGATTATGAATAAGTGTAAATCATAAATGTAATGTCTGAATATATGTATCTCAAAGGTTATTGAGTGGATGTTAATTTCTTTGACCTTCGAGCTTGAATTTATGGTAACTATTACAGTGGCAAACTTACATATATGTTCTGTGCAATTTTAATGTCAGTACTTGTTTGATAGTGGTTCCTAGATTTACTGACTTCACAGGTCAGTAAATTCCAAAAAGTAAAATTTTGGAGACCGATTAACAAATCCAAGAGCATATTTTGACAAGGAAAACTATTTTTAAAGCCTGTCTATACTTATCATCCCTTCATAAAAATATCTCAATATCAAACAAAGATCTTATTTTTCTCATTTTACCTCAAAGTTCTCTTATTCTTGGCATTGTCAGTAGATACTACTTTTGGGGAAACACTGGTAAATATTATCCACTTTGTAGGGCCTCTTATTATACACCAAGTTATTATATCTTAATTTTTTGAAAAATAACCTAGAACACTATTTGCAGGAAGATTAAATAATACAAGCTATTGTTCTAGAAAGGAGTTGCATTCTTGTCATCAGTGTGCTTACTTATTTCATAATATTTTTTTTTTATCTTTTAGCCTGTATGCTCTATACAATCCATAACACATATGATGACATTGAAAATAAAATGGTTGCAGATCTAGGATGTGGTTGTGGAGTGCTTAGCATCGGAACTGCAATGTTAGGAGCAGGGTAGGTAATCCTATACACACACACACACACACACACACACACACACTCCTTGGGTAAGGGGTAGTTAGAATAAGCATAGATACAATTATGTTCATAGAATTCTACAGTCTGAGATGAGAGCAAAAAGCTCACATTGAGTACATTTTAAATGGGCAAGATAAACTACTAAAAAAATCAAAACCAGTAACAGAAGCGATCAGATGTCTATCTTTCATACAGACCTGAATTTCCAACCCCTTCTGGGTTGAGATCATGCTTTTGAAAGGCAATATAGAATGTAGGCAGTGGCTCTGGCAGCTTAGCAACCTCTGGGTCTGACTGGAAGAGAGTGCTATGGTCCCACAGCCCCTGGTCCCTACTCTGGAAAAGCACATCTCCACGGAGCTGTGTTTCCCTCACCACGAGCATCCCCACCATAACCAAATGGTAGCCAGCAACGCCTACCTATCTTAACTGGATCCATGGATTCTGGGCTCTGATGCTGGCTTTCCTGAAAGAGAGACCACCTATCACAACCACCATAGGAGCTATTACAGTTTTGTAACATACTAACTTGCATGCAAATAATTGCAATAAATGGATGAAACAGTTTATGAAAAAAGGCAACATTTTACTTCTTTAATTGAATTAAAAAGGTATGTTGTTATTGTTTTGACATAGAGCTGTAAGTAATCATTCTATATTTTGTATTTATAGGTTATGTGTTGGATTTGACATAGATGAAGACGCATTGGAAATATTTAACAGGAATGTGGAAGAGTTTGAGTTAACAAATGTTGACATGATTCAGTGTGATGTGTGCTCATTGTCTAACAGAATATCCAAGTCATTTGATACAGTAATTATGAATCCTCCCTTTGGAACCAAAAATAATAAAGGTTAGTAGTAAGTATCAGGTATACTGTTGTATTTTTAGAAAAGCAAATTTTATTTATTTTTTAATTTTTCATGTTTTAATTGCTATCCTCTATTTGATGAGGCATTTTCAGCACACTACTTTTCCTTTTTTTTGTTTGTTTGTTTATATTTTGAGATAACATTGGTTAACATCACTGTATATGAGTCAGAGGAATAGGTTCATACCTCCTCAGAGGTGTGTCACCACACTCAAGTACCCATATAACTTTATCATAAACCATCGGAACCCTTCTCCATTGCCACACCACGGTAGCATCCTTAACTCTGCAGTCATTTTATTTTGTATTTTTGTTAGTTTGTTTTTCATCAGTGAAATCATTGGATATTTTCTGGCACTCAGGTTTAATTTAATAAGCATACTTCCCTCCATTTTGACTCATGTTGTCATGAATGATAGTTGATCTTGTTAATCTTGTTTTATAGCTGAATAATATTACATACATGAATCACATCATTTTTGGTTTTTTTCCAAGATTTTTGTATTGATGCAATCAGAACTGGGGTACAGGCCAGAGGTGCAGGAGCAGCGAGAGGATTCACCAAGATAAAGTGGGGAACAGAACAGGTAGACCTACTGAAATATACACCTGAAGGGAGCAGCACATGAGGCAAGGGATGTCTGCTTTGCCATGTGGGTCAACTCCCTAGCTGGGATCAAAGTCAGGGCTGCAGTGGCTATGGATAGCTGAGACTTAACCCCTTGCACTACCACAGAGGCCCCAGTACTTAGTACTTTTTGATACTAATGTAAATAGGGTCGTTTTCTTGGTTTCTTCCTCTTCATTATTTACATAAACGAATGCCATAGACTTTTGAATTTTGATTTTTTTTAGCATGTCATTTTTCTGTATTTGTTTCTAATATTTTTTTAGTAGAGTCTTTAGGTGCAAATTATAGAGTCAAGAATATTGACTTAGTTGTCTTTTTTGTGTTATCCTTATCTACTTCAGGTAACAGTAATGTTGGTCTCATAGAATGTGTTTGGGAGCATTCCATCTCCCTCAGTTTTTTGGGAAGAGTTAGAAGATAGGTATTAGTTCCTCTTTGAAACTTTGAAAGGAATAACTAGTGAAAATGTCTGGTTCCGGGCTTTTGTTTTATGGGAGGTTTTTTTCTTAGTATCTCAGTTTCCTTGCTTGTAATTGGTCTGTTCATATTCTCTGCTTCTTCTTGATTCAGTCTTGGAAGGTTGTATGAAGAGGTAACTATTAAAACTATTTTCTCATTGACTGAGTTAATGATCTTATCACTGCTCATTAAATGTCTACTGTATGTGTAGTTTTATAATTTTAATTTAAATTTAAGCATGCATTAATTGAATCGCTAATTATTAGTTAATAGGAGAAATCATTAGTTGAATTGCTAGGAAATGCAGTTAAAAATATTTTTCACTAATTTGTACTATGCTCGTTTCTTATTGCTTATACTCCAACTGCTTACAAGAATGATTTACCTAACACTTATAAATGGTTGTAAATACTATAAATAATCTTATACTTTTAAAGACTCTTTTAATGCTTTCAGCACATTGAGGATTTCAGCATATGTGCATCAGTAACAGAGACTCATGGTGGCTATTAATTTTGTGTTTGATGTGAACAAGGAGGGTAGTAAGAGGAAGAAAAGCCCATCCTCCCCCCTACTGTGATTCGGATTATTGCTCTACTTGTTTCCTTCTCCCATCTTTGAAAGTCACGAATTTGGAATGTAATATTAAAATTTTTACTTTAGCCTTTCTTAACCAGACACTGTAATTCTAGTTTTATTCTATCAATCTTACAAGATTTTATTTAGATATTTGTACCCAATCTTGTTGCATTAAGAATTTGGAATGCTATTTTGAAGTTTGAAAAAATATTTCTAAATACATGATATTCATTTAATCTTATATTTTGGTAACAGACAAATGTTGTAAATAGTTCTTTTCTACTTTCAACAGGAACAGATATGACTTTTCTGAAGATTGCACTGGAAATGGCAAGAACAGCAGTATATTCTTTACACAAATCCTCAACTAGAGAAGTAAGTTCAAATCAACATACTGTTCTTTGTCACTTATATTTAAATTCAAGACAGTCTTTTAAGCATTTGTTATAAATACTAAATATGAGGATGTCTTTTTTTCAACATTTGGCATTCAGGAACCGAATTTTCTAGCATTTTAACTAGCTTTCTTCCAGCCTGTATAACTTCTTTTGTTAAAGATTCGTTTAGGTAGGACAGAAGTGTGATATAACTAGTGTTAAAATATGTCCTGATTTGCTGGGTAAGTCCTAGTGTGGTTTGCATAAGGGAGGTGGTATGCCTGGCTTTTTTTTTTTTTTTTTAAGATTTATTTATTTATGCATACAGAACTGGGGTACAGGCCAGAAATGCAGGAGCAGTGAGAGGATTCACCAGAGACAGAGTGGGAGTAGAATAGGTAGATTGATGAAGTACACTGCTGAGGGGAGCAGTGGGCAGGTCAGGAGAGGTCTGCCACGTCATGTGGATCACCTCTGAGGCGAGGATCAAACTCATGCTGCAGTGGCTTTAGCTTCTTAGTGCTGTCCTTTAACCCTCTGTGCCCCCAGGGAGGGCCAAGCCTGACTTTTTAAAAAAAAAAAAAAAAAAATTGAGCTTGGAGCTAAACTGATTCGATTTCAGAGCCTACTTCTTGTATTATTCTTCTTTACAACATATAGCACATATTATCTTAACACTTATGAGAGTATAAGGTTATGCCAGGAATGGGAATATTTTTTTTAAAGTGTCACTATAGTAAGTGAACAAGAACAGCTGGCGCTAGATCCCCAAGGTTCAGAGTCAAACTGCTTCCCAGCTTTGTATCTTGGTCAAGGTATTTGAACTTGTTTTGTCACCTCACTAAACTCACAAGGAAGCAATACCATATATTTTATAGGATTATTCTGAGGATTAAATGAGTTAAAATTCACAAAGTACTTAGAAGAACTTCTAGCATACATACTTGCTATGTGTTGGCTACTATTTCTTTAACTCCTACATTTACTAAAGAGATTTTAAAGTGCTTTTACAGGAAAAATATTTGTGTAAATTCATTTGGAAACAATATGTTTTGGATATATAGTAATCTGGTGAACCCATTTAAAAGTAGAAAATCAAGGGTAAAAGTGTACATACTGCTAGTGATAAGGAGTGCATTTAGATAAGCAGCAGAACTTTTTACTGGTACATAATTTTACGGTACCTAAATCCCCATTTGCTAAGTGAAAGCAAACACTATTAATTACTGATAGCTAAAAAGCTTGTGATGAAAGGGTCCCCCAAACCATGCTCAGGTTTGATGATTCACTAGGAAGTCTCACAGGAGTTAAGTTTTTAATTCTGCTCATGGCTGTTTTATTATAGCTAAGGACACAGAGCAAATTGCCAAGGGGAAAGGTGAATGGGATGAAGTCTAGGTGAATCAGGTGCAAGCTTTCAGAGCTCTTTCTCAGTGGAAACACACAGAGTATACTTAACTCTCTCAACAGTGAATTTCTGGAACAAAGCATGTGAAATGTTGTCAACCTGGAAAAATAATTGAAGACCTGGTGCCCAGGGTTTCCACTAATCATGTACCTTAAACATAAAAATTCCAATTCCAGTAGCTAGACAGGGGTTGACATTAAAAACTTTAAGCATAATGAGCCAGTTTTATCAATTAAGGTGATCCCCATATCTAAGTTCCATATTCTAGACAAGGACCAGTTTAAGTAGACTCTTAAAGATTAATCAGGTTTGCTATGAACTCTTTTCTGCACAACTCGACATAATTATCACACCCATAGTTCATGTAGATCAACTAAAATATGCCAGCAGCAACAACAACAAAATGCAATTAAGGAGCAAAGAAAGTCTAGTTACTTGAATGTCCTGGAGCCACATTAACCAAGGAACGCAAATCTTTTATTTGGTTTTGCCATGATCCACCACTAAGAGGCAGCATTGTCAGATTAGTCATCAGGCTTACTAGTTGACTTTTAAGTCAATAGTTAAATATATTTCTAGACAGTACAAAAGTAGTTCTGTTACTTTTATAGTAATGGATTTAAAAATTAATGTGGTGGTATTATGCATACAAGAGGTATGATTTGGAATGTTCATTATCAAGACTTGAAATGAGCTGGTGATAATTTTGCTTGTTTTAGTATTCTATGTAATTAGTTAACATTGCCACTGGTCCCTTGGTTGCCAGACTCCTTCTATAGATCCTTGTTTTTTAAAGTGTTTGGCTCTGTATTAATATGATAAAACTTTTTGCTAAAAATACTGATATTTAAGTTAAAAGGTTAAGTGTATCCTGGCACATATACTAAAACTGTTGCCATGTCTACATTAGGCATTCTGAAAACCTGTTCTGGGCTCAGAGCAGAGTAGATAAGCCAGGCCCATTTTCTCATTTATCCTTTGCTTAACTCATTCATTCTTTTATCTCTCAACCAACACCACATTCCATCATTTCTATCCAAAACCTTTCACAAACCTTAGGGCTCAGATAGCAAGAAAATTTCAGTATATTGCTAACAAATTTATAAAGGATTCTAAGATTCCACTAAATTGTTTTACTTGCACTGGTCTGTATCCTCATATAAAAATTCTAGATCTCAAAGAGTATTCAATTTAGAGAAAATTATAAGTACAAACATATTGTCAGTACTGACCAGAAATATTTGATCCTAAAATACTAGGGAAAGTTTAGCAATCAACTTAATGACAGTAAGAATGAATAATACACTAAAATGCTTATACCAGATACTAATCTCGCTCTTGTTGTACTCCTAGAAAAATATCTGAATACCTAATTTATTTAAGTGATTATGGGGAACTTTTTACCAATATTCATTTATGTTGCAGTGTTATACATAATATATATTAATATTTAAAAACTAATAAAGCAATTTTTCCCTATTAAAATTAGTAACCAGATAAGGAAAATGAGGTAAAGACTAAATTGCTCAAGGTTACATATCTAGTAATTAGTAAAGCAGTTCAAATGCAGGCTGCAGGCTGTCTGGCTCCAGAAATATGCAACTACATACCATACCATACTGAACTGCCTCTAGATATAGACCTCTACTAAATGGTTTCCAGGATAGCTATATTTATTAATTCTATAGAAATCATTTTCACTACATTATATGGTATTTTCTGAAATAATTACTTGAATTATATAATTTGGCTTAGATTTTAAGTGGCTTGGTATGTCTTCAAAATAGTGTTCATCTAGTTAAAAGGTTAGGAGATCTAATTTTTTTCTTTTTAAGATGATTATTTATGCACATAAGAGCTGGGGTGTAGGCCATAGGTATGGGGGGGGGGGTGAAAGGGTGGAGGATTAACCAGAGACAGAGATGGGAGCAAAACAGGTAGATCCACTGAAATACACAGCTGACAGGAGCAGTGGGTAAGTCAAGAGAGGTCTGTTGTGCCATGTGGGTCAGCTCCCTGGCCAGGGATCGAACTTGTATTGCAGTGCTGACTTAACCCCTGTACCATCAGGGAGGCCCTAGGGGATCTAAATTCTAATCATATTTTTAAAGTTTGAAAACTTGAAGTAATAATAAAAAAATTACTTTTGAAGAATTATTTTAAAATCAGCTCACATTAACATTTTGTGTTCAGCATATCCAAAAGAAAGCTGCAGAATGGAAAATCAAGATAGATATTATTGCAGGTAAGTTGATTTTTTTGATCCTACAAATTTCCACCCTAATTAAAGCTAACAAAAAAATTTGTTTTGCTAAAAAAAATATTGGTAGATTAAGATAATATTGCATGAGTTAGGCTCACATAGTGCTAACATACTGACTGTACTACCAACAAAGCACCTATGTACCATAACCCATGCCCTTCCATAATTTTCATACAGGTATTAGGAAGACTGTAAAATCTATTCTTCAGTGTATGTACACAGGACATGTATATATATTGGCAATAGGTTAGAGATGGAGTCAAAGCGGAGTGTCATTATTGAGACTATCCCAGTTTATGCATTTTATTGAAAATTTCTAATAGCACCCAATTTGGTTTTGGTCACTCCACATTCAGAAACACCATGTACCCCTTTGTACCCCTTAAAAGCTTAGAATTGGGAGTTGGTTAGATAGACTTCAGTTTGGTAGAAGTCAACAGTGGTAAATGCTTAGAAATACAATTTTCTTTTTTTTTAAGATTTAGTTAGCATACAGATCTGGGGCATAGGCCAGAAGTGCACGGGTGGTAAGAGGATTCATTCAAGTGGGGAGAACAGGCAGATTGATGAAGTATACTGCTGAGGGGAGCAGCGGGAAAGACAGGAGGGGTCTGGTGTGCCATGTGAGTCATACCCGTGGCCAGGATCAAACTATAAATTTCACCCTTAGGTGGTTTTTTGTTTTACAGAACTGAAATATGACCTACCAGCATTGTACAAATTTCATAAGAAGAAATCCGTAAGTCTCTTGATTCTGGCTTCTTTATATTTAGCCCTGAAAAACTTTGCAATAAGTATTTTTAGACTTTTTTAAAGATTTACCGTTTATGCACACTAGCGCTAGGTATAGGCCAGAGATTCAGGGGCAGGGAAAGAGGTTCACCAGAGACAGAGTGGGGAGCAGAACAGGCAGAGTGACTAAAATACATTCCCTGAGGAGAGCAGCAGGTGAGAAAGGAGAGGGCTGCTGCACTAGGTGGACAGCCTTTGGGGCTGGGGATGGAACTCACACTGAAGCAGCTATGGCCAGCTTGCAGTGCTGCATCTTAACCTGTTGTGCCAAAATCTTCACTGTCATTGGTTTACACAGTAAGTTATTTCTAGTAATTATCAAGTTGCCTTGAGTAGCTCAGCAGACATAAGTCACACCTTGAAGATACTGCAGGTTCAATTCCAGACTACAGCACTTGGTTTCCTAGTGCATTAAAGTCATATACATTAGGCCTATTAAGTGTGCAAAACATGCCTTTAAAAAACAATGTACATACTTTAATTAAATGTGGTAGAGAAGGGGCTCTCCCTGTTGGCACATGTTAAAAAGCACCACATTATGAAGCTCTTCGAAGCCACTGCTGCGCAAGTTCAATCCCCGGCCAGGGGACTGACCCACATGGCCTGGCAGACCTCTCCTGACTCGCCCACTGCTCCCCTCAGCAGTATACCTTGTCAATCTGCCTGTTCTGCTCCCCACTGTGTCTCTGGTGAATTCTCTCACCTACCATGCCTTTGGCCTGTACGCCAGTTCTGTAGGCATAAATAAATAAAATCTTTTTTAAAAAAAAAGTGAGACAAGTGAGCATGTTAAAGGAAAAAAAAAAAAGACTTCTAGGTGCAGGGTTAACACAAATCTTCAATTTGTAAAAGAAATGCAGTATTATGAAGCAAAATTAAAAAAGGCAAGCCTGCATTAGCCGTGGGATTAATTCGCAGCCAATACTCTGGTTTAAAACCTTTCCCCTAGGCAAGACATAAATCTGCCTAACAGTTGTGCTATTGTTTATTGTGCTTTCCCTGGTATCCTTTCTAATCCTTTTTATAGCCCCACCCCTGTTGTTTAGCATCTGAAGCCACTTAAGCAAGAAGTTATTCAGTCTTACTGGGTCTCTCCCATGTATGTACACTTTAAAAAAAAAAAAAAAAAAGATTTTATTTATTTATACATAGAGAACTGGGGTAAAGGCCAGAGGTGCAGATGCAGTGAGAAGACTCACCAGAGACAGAGTGAGGAGCAGGACAGGCAGATCAATGAAATACACTGCTGAGGGAAGCAGCGAATGAGACAGGAGAGGTCTGCTGTACCATATGGATCACCTCCATTGCTGGGATTGAACTCACACTGACATGGCCTCAGCTTGGCTTAGCTTTATAGTGCAGTGCTCCAACCCACTGCGCCACCAGGGAGGACCCAGGAAATATATTTTTTGACTTTTTCTTCTTAAATAAAATATTCTTGGGCCCTCCCTGGTGGCGCAATGCATTAAAATGCAGCTATGTAGCTTCAGCACAAGTTTTATCCTCGGCCAGGGAGGTAACCCACATGAGGAAGAGATTTCTCCTGACACACATGCTGCTCCCATCAGCATTATACTTCAATCTGCCTGTTCTGCTCCCCACTCTGTCTCTGGTGAATCTTCTTACAGCTTCTGTGCCTCTGGCCTTTACCCCAGTTCTGTATGCATAAATAAATAAACCTTCAAAAAAATAAAATATTCAAGTGCATTGGGAAGGAAAAGGAAACAAAAACTAAGATTTTGCTTTTTTATATAGTATATATTTTATTAGTTTGTAGTAATACATTTTTCATATTACAAAGGCAATTTAGTGGAAGAATCTTCCTTTTGATATTGAAACATCTGAAAGAACACAAACAGAACTATACATTTAAAAAAAATGTATTTTTTTCAATAACAAAAAGGCAAGCTAAACAATAAAAGATTTCTTTTTCTTTCTTACAGGTGGACATTGAAGTGGACCTAATTCGGTTTTCTTTTTAAAAGACGTCAAAGACATAAGCAGCCTAAAACCTAATTATTAAAATGAATAAAAAAATTTTTTTTTTTTACTAAACTACTGGTCTCCAGCACCATTTTCTGTTTTCTGTTGTTTAGATGCAGGTTCGTGTATGTCTAGTTCTATTTCTTCTCTTGCTCTTTTTACTGCTCCTATACAATAACAATTAATATTTGTTAAATTTACTGTAAGCATTCTATTATAACATTGAGCATAATTGTTTAAAATGATTAATAACTCCCATCACTAATGAGAAAAAGCTTTAATCTTAAGTATTTTTGTATTTAATTTGTAAAACAGCATGAGGTAAATCACAATTCACAAACATCACTTACATAGACATTAAAAATCATGCCTATTCTCTTCCACAAATAATTCCTCATGAAAATACCAAAGGCTTTAGAAAAAAACTTACCGTCTGCATCATTTTCATCATGTTCATCCTCACTATCAAATCTAGTTTTCTTGCCTTGAAACTGTACTTTTCCTTTAGCAGACCCACCTTGGGCAGTTTTATTCCCCTTTCCTTTTCCTTTAAATCTGCGACCTATAGAGATATAATTGAGAAGTCAACAAAGAAATGTTTTTAATCTTTCAATGTTTTTGAATATGTATTAAAATTTTCACTCAAGCAAATGAGTTATTAAAAATCCCAACAAATGACCTTTTGATTTCCATTTGTTCAGGGACTCCTGTTGATCTTCTATGATTTTTTTCAAAGCTTCTTTTTCCACATCTCCTTCTAATACTTCCCATGTCACGTCTTTGTTCCTTAATTGTAAGTTACCATTGTTTGCGTCTTTGGCTTTATCCAGTGCATCCTTAGCTTTTTCTTTAAAAAGAATTATTCCCTATATCAAAGACATAAAATAAGAGCCACACCTTGATGCTCTTATTCCCATTATAATTTCTTTGCTCAAATTCCTATCCTACAAATCAGTATCATTACTAATTTCAATAAATTTTACTGATTAGGAAGGAAATTACTGCAAAACTTGCAGTGGTTAATTTACTCATAACATTAATTCATAAAATATCAGACATCCACTGAGAGCAATAAAGTAATCAAGTATGAATGTTCCAAACCTCTTTTGCTCCTCTGACAAAGTCTATCCATTTTATTTCACCATGGTTTGAGAAAAGCACATGCAAATCTTCTCTACAGGTCTGATCATCTAAATCTCCAGAAAATTTCAGCAAGCAGCCAATTTTTTCTTCTATAGATTTCTACAAAAATATATAAGGCAATCAAAGTTTCTTAAAGCAAATACACACAAAAAACACTTATCACTCAATGCATATAAGAAAAAAGTTACAAACTGAAGGCTATTTTGAGTAGCATTTTAATAGCTGGTACCTTTTTGTCATCCTTTTTTCTATAGTAGCTTCTGATTTTAATTTCTCCAAGAATAATACCTAGTTATATACTTTTATAAAGATTTATTTACGCATACAAAAGCTGGGGTACAGGCCAGAGGTGTGGGGGTAGGATGGGCATGTGAAAGGATTCACCAGAGTGGGAAGCAGAACAGGCAGATTGAAATATGCTGCTGAGGGAGGCAGCAGGTAAGACGAGAGGTCTGTTGCACCTTGTGGGTCACCTCCTGGAGGGGATCGACTCATGCTGCAATGGGTGCAGATAGCTTCACAGTGCTGCAGCTTAACCCAATGTGCCACCAGGGAACCCCCCAGTTACAAATAACTAGAATTATATAAACATGGCTATTTATCTCTCTGGATAACTATTTTCAGCAATATTTGGTTATTACTTAAATGTAATGACAACTGTAGATTTGCTTAAAACATCCTTTTATACTCTGAATTTCCAATTTCTTAAATACAAGTAACACATACTCACCATTTCAGCATTTTCTGCTAACTTTTGTTTTTCTTCTTGCTCTCTACAAATAAAAATATAATTAGAACATTTCCACTTATTATGTAAGAAAACTAATCCTAATAAAGCTAATCTTGATCATGACCACTAAACTACCTTAATAAAGAAAGTTAGAATTTGCTCAAGTGCAACATAATGTAGCCTTCCCTGAGTTTATCAAAACAGCTTAAAATAATGTTTCCAGCAGCACAGAAAAATCCTACTGTTACTCATTTTAGGGCTCATCGTCAGCTCCACTTAACCAAAACTACTCTAAGTTTTAAGGAATTAAAATGTTATGATTATCTCAACGTACTTACTGTTTAGCTCGTAATTTGGCTTCCACTTTATTTTGCTTTCTTTCTTCATTTTTCTTTGCAAAGTAATCTTCCCTAAAGGACACATAATACTGAGATTAAGTTCATGAGTACAAAGGTAAGGCTGCAAATTATTTTCTAAGAATTAATACATGGTAAGAGAATGAACATTTCATACACACACGCACAAATTTTTTAAGATTTACTTTTTTAAACTAAGGTGTAGGCCAGAGGTTTGGGGTGAAAGGTTCACCAGAGAGAATAAGGAACATAACAGGCTGATCTACTGAGATAAACTGCAGAGGGAAGCAGTGGGCGAAGACAGAAGAGATCTATTGTGCCATGTGGATTAGCTCCCTGGCCAGGGATCCAACTCATGCCACCAGCCACAACAGCTTGACGGCACTGAAACTTTAACCTCTGTGCCACCAGGGAGGCTCCAGGACATTGTTTTCTATCAAAATGATTACCCAAAAATATGCCAACGTAATTAACTTTTATTCTTTAGTAACAGTTTTACTAATAATTCACATCCCATAAAATTCACCCCTTCAAAGTATACATTTCAATGTTTTATAATATATTCAAAATTATACAACCATCACCATTATTTAATCCCATGACTCCAAAGAGAAGCCCCATGTCCACCAGCAATCTCATTTTGGTTTTCATTTAACTTTTGGGGTAAAGGGGATATGGCAGCAGACAGGCAAATGGACAAGGACCATAAGCCAGATGTTATTTGAATATTATAGTGTTAATTTTGCAAAAGGACTTTTGTTCCTCTAACCTAAGAATATGAAAAATCATATCAAAAATTTACTTTGAAGGGTTAACACTGATAGCATGGCTCATCACAGTCCATCTCTGTAATGCAAAAGCAGGGAACAAAGGCCCTACAACTAACTTGACCATGAAGTTACTCTGGTGTATCCTAATTCTTACATATAGCTTACTGTGATTCAACTATCATTGAGTAATGCTTTGTACTATATAAAATACAGGTATATATTGATTATGACAAATAAAAAGATAAAGTTATACGGTGATTTATTCTCCAATCAAACCAAAAGACCAAATTCTAGTATCCAATTTGATTATATGATTTAGATGGAAAGTACTAAAATCCAACCTCCTTTATCAGTTACTAACCTGTGAAAATGTAATAAGCACCTCCTTACAGTCATAAATAATCAGTTTCTACTTAGCAAAATTAAAGCATTTCTCTAGGCCTTCCTAAGAAAGCTACAAATACTGGCCTTACTCCAAATTCCTTACCTCAGTGTGTCAATTCCATATATCTATGTGGGAGAAAGAGCAGCAGAAAAGACTTACTTGAAAAGTATCAATAAGTCCGTATCTTTGTACTTCTGGCCAGGGGTCTCAACAAACTTCTTAGCAGATTCAACACAATCAAACACAGCAAATATTGATCCCTATTAAAAAAGTAAACAAAAATTGTTTAAGTTATGCCTAATTTTTCAACTAGGAAAAGTTAAAATGTCATATAGTTATACCTTAAATGCTTTGTGCAATGTTCTTCTCATTTGAATATTTAGTACTTGCCCTTTATCTTCTAACCATTCTTTTATGTCATCTAGAGTTGCATCAGTTGGGAAACCTTTCTATGAAGAATAAGAAGAAAGGCACAAATGACTTCTCCAGTAAACAAATCACCAGAAGTTTCAATTTATTTTGTCGAAGTAAAAAAGCTGAGATATAACACATATCTCTCTCTCTCTACCTCTTATATGTTTAAAGACACTATTTTCCAGTGCAGTACAAAGTGACTCATTTATCTGGATTTCATTTCAAAATAATTCAGTTAGTTCAGAGATAAAACAAGATTAATCACATTAGTATCTGGATAATGTCACCTTGAAGTTGAATAACAAAACATTATATATTCAATCTACTTTTATATATCTGAAATGTTCCAGGTAAAAAATATATATATTTAAAAAATTAATATGCTAAAAACATTGCATCAAGTTTTCCAGTTGTTACACATTTCATGCTACACTATGTAGGAAGTTTTGTCCAGTTTTGTGTGGGTTTTTCATATTTTAATTCTCAGTTCTATAAGGTAAAAGTTTTAATCCTGTAAATGAAGATAAGGCCTAGAGAGGTTAAGAATACTGCCCCTTTAAGTACATAAGGTAAGTGTGAAAACTAATTTATGATTCCATATCCATACTATGTTCTTTTTAAATAATGTAAATTATAATTAATGCATTAAAAGAGACACTTACAATATACACAGATCTGTTTTTCACATCATTTTTATACTCATCAGTCACTTCAGGGAGGGGTTTGCTTGGAGATCTTCTGATTTTAGTCTTATCTTCACTTATTTCCATCAGTTCTGCCTTTGATTTGCTCAATGCTTCTACTATTACATTAAAGTCTGTTGTTAGACGGTTTAACCTGAAGAAAAATATATAAGCATTTTAAGACTTAATGGTAGCACTGTTGTTAACAAAAGAATCTAAGGATGATTTTTTAAAAAGCTGTTCACCTGTTGAATTTTATCATTATCTCCAAAGGTACCCAGCCTTCATCCAGTTTGATTTGTTCCTTTAAAAACTTATCCCGTGGTAAATTGAAGTCACCAAAATAATACTGCAAGACAATTACAATAATATTTAGAACACTGTCTAACACTGAATCTATTCATTTTTTAACCATTACATCACTAAGCTCTAGCCTACAAAAATACAAGGCATAACTTAAAAGGAAATAAACATTTTCTCCTAAATACACTGTAATGTTAACAAAACAAGACTAGCTATCACCAGCCACCAGCTGACCCACATGGCACAGCAGACCTCTCCTGTCTTGTACACTGCTCCCCTCAGCAGTATATCTCAGGAGACTGCCTGTTCTCCTCACTGTTTCTGGTGAATCCTCTCATCCCACCCCACCCCTCACCCAGGGCCCCTTTGGCCAACACTCCAGTTATTCTAGGCATGTACGCATAAATGAATAAATCTCTTAAAAAAAAGTAGAAAGCTTTGAAACAAGTAACGCATTTAAGCATCTTTCAAAGGTTTCAAAGAGCCTCACTTCAAATCTATGGAAAGAATAGATTGTTAAGTAAAAGGAACCTTAATATTTAAAAGTAAAAAAATTTTAAAATGAGGTGAACATTTATTTAATTTAAGCAAGTCCTTCTTTATTAGCATAAAAACAAAGGAAAAGTTATATATGAAAATATTCAGTTGTGCCAGAGTGCCAAAAGTAGAATAAAAAGTAAAAGACTGATAAACACCTCAATTTGTTAACAATGCTTATAAATCAAGGGGAAAGGAAAAATCCTAGAAATCATAATGGCTAAAAGACATTTAAAAAATCACTAAGAGGGCATCCCTAGTGGCACAAGGGTATGTCTCAGAACAACAAAGCTATCCACAGCAGCAGTTTGATTCCAGGCCAGGGTGCTGACCCACCTTGCCCAAGACCTCAAATGTTGCTCTTCTCAGCAGTGCATTTCAGTAAATCTGCCTGTACTGCTCCCCCACCCCTATCTCTGGTGAATCCTCTCATCCCTCCTACCCCCACACCCCTGGCCTATACCCCAGCTCTAGAATGCATAAATAAACATATCTTTTATAAATAAATAAATTTTTTTAAACTCACTAGAAACACAAATTTACCATAAACATTAAAAACCCTCAATCTTGCCAAAGGCATGTAATTTAAAGCAATGAGATAGCATTTCTCACCTAGCAAAATGGCAGCAATTCTAGAAACAACAATACTATTGCCTTAAACACAGAGATGCAGGTAGAAATATAAACTTGAACCAATACATCTCCTAGGAATTTCAATTTAAAGAAATTAGTAAACTATTAAAATTTATATATAAAGATATTCACAGAACTATACAGCTAAAAAGATGGGAGTAACCTACATATCAGATAGGGGGTTGGATAAATTATTGATAACATGAATTACTCTCCTAAAATGCTGTATTTATTAGGAGAAACGGAAGGAAATAAAAACCGCTAGTTTGATCTCTGATCAAATTATCAGAGAGTATACATTAGTTATGGGGGAAGGGCATATTACTACCTTTTTCTCTATATATTTTTGTACTGTCCTATTACATTCAATGTATTATTTTTTCAACACAACTATAAGGAAATTACAAAAAAGATTTAAGAGGTAATGTAAAATGGCAGGTATACAACTTTTGAGAAAATATTTCTAAGCACTGCAAAGAAAAAAAGCAACAAGTAATAGAATTTGAAATCTTCAGTGAGAATTTAAAACAAGTAGTCATTATTGATATTGTAAAATTTCAACTTAAATATAATGCTTCAGTGTCTCCAAAATGCTAATACTTTGTTTACTTTGTAAACAAAGTAGTCTCACCCACTGCTCCCCTCAGCAGTGTATTTCAGTAGATCTGCCTGTTCTGCTCCCCACTCTGTCTCCGGTGAGAATCCTCTCCCTACCAAACCCCCATACCTCTGGCCTATATTCCAGCTCTTTTATGCATAAATTAAAAAAATAAATAAGTCCTCACTTAACAATATTAATAAGTTGCTGGAAACTATGACTTTGCAAATAAATATAACAAAACAGGTACTTTAAAGATATGCTAGTGTTTCCTTCCTCATTAATGTTACAATGAAATGACACTGGAGAAACAGAAGTTAGAAGTTGTAATAGGTGGAAAGAACAGGGTATAAAATACTAGGACTCTCAAAATATGAGGTGTTACTAAATAGACCCCCACTTTACAAAGGAATTTTGTTCTTATTATGTGTACTCTAATAATGTTTTGCATATTATTAACTAATGTGATCCTAACAACCACCTTACTATCCCTACTTTATAGCCAAAGAAACTAAAGCAAATAAAAGTTAGGAACACTATAGTGGTACCTTTCAAAATTTTGCTAGTCCTGGGTTTGATAAACCAGTTCCACCAATACAAACTCTATACTATGTATCTTCATTTAATTTCAAGAGTCAAAGTCAAATACTGAGTCAGTAGGTCAATAACTGTTCTTTCTTGTATTTGTATTTAGGCCCTAAATTTCCCTTGAAGGAGGGCCCTCCCTGGGAGCACAACCAAGCCTCTTTTAAAGGAATCTATTTTTTTGCAATTTAATAATAGAAGAATCATACCTCAATTTGATGACAGATTTTGGCCTCCAGGGCAGCCATTTTTTCATTATCACCATTTTCAGCCATTACGGCTACCTGTAAATTTGCCCAAATTGGCATAAATAGGTTATTTTCTCTTTTTAAATTAAAATTCAAGACCATACTTTAAAGTTAACATTACACTGTTTCTTAAAAATCACGAATTTTTTAAAAAGAATTTTTAATTCAACAAGTTCAATTTCAAAAATCTTTGGAGTAACAACATTGAAAAGCTACTGATAATACCCACTTCTGCCAGTAGGCCACTGCTTCAACTTTTACAACAAAAGGAGTGTTTATCCTCATTTAACTGGTCAAGAAAGCTTTGGGGGGGGAACCAACAATTCATTCAACCACTTACAATCAACTTTTTCTAGCTTTAAGCATTTCACCATCTGCCAGTATACTATGACTCTCAATTAATTCTATTTTTTTTTTTTGGTGTGCGTTGCACTTCTTTTAAAATTAGTCACAGCTGATTTACAAACAACAGCAAAGAAAAACACACACATCAAAGAATACCGTATCAGCAAAAAGTTTGTTTTATAAGGTAGAAAAAATAAAATATTACAGCCAGGGTAAAATGGATGCTGTATGCTAAGAAACGTAGTAAGAAAACACTAAAACGTTAAACTAGGGTGTAGGTTTACTAATAACACTATGTATTTACTGGCTACCCTTATAGTCAGTGTCCTGTTTCACATGCTTGACGTTAGCATTGCAGGAAAAAATGTGGCTGAGGTTGCCTCCAGTATTCTAGTAAACCCCGCCCTCATCCAATTGTACAGAAGTACATACAGAAGAACTCAAGAGGTGTCTGCCACTAGGTAACTCCAGTGGGGGAGCTATCGTTGTTACACTACGAAGAAGCATCTCTTTATAACACTGCAGCAGTCATGCAAGAACCTGGACGCACACCAGAAGCTCGTGCAGTAAGAATCGGCATGAGACACACCTCACTACCCAATGTACTCAGTCTTAGGCACTGGACCCCGTAAATAAAGCATACGGTGGGATCAAAGAACTATTTAGTCCTACAAGACTTCATCGGCCTACCTAATTTCTGAAACTTCGTTCCATCCAATGCTCCCCAGTATGCACGATTTAGAATTATTAACCAACCACACTTTTAACATTTCATAGTGCCTTTACGTGAGTGAACAAGGCCTCTAAACACCAGGCAGGGGGAACTTCGGCGGCCCGAGGCTCTGGTCTAAAGTCTGCCCTACGGGGTCCAGGCACTCATTGGGCGTTTAGCCTGCGCCGACCTCCCCAGAAATGTACACGGTGGCCCGAAACGTCAGCCCGGGGCCACAATGAAAAGCGGTGGAAGCAGGCACTCTGAGGGCGCAGAGGGGCTGCGGGCAGCTTCGGTCCAAAGACCCCGCCAGAGCCGGGTCCCAAACCCACCCCTGATTGGCTGGCCGGGGCCCAGCCACGTGCGGGGACACCGCCGCGCGAGCTCCAGCAGTCCCAGCCAGGGCCGGCTGCGCGCCGCGCCGCTCGCTGCCCGGCGCTCTGCCACGGGCTGAGGCCCACGCGGCGCTAGGCCGGAACGCGAGGAAGGCGAGCAGTGGACGTCCCCAGCGTGAGGCAGCAAGGCGAGGAAACGCGCCACAGCACAAAGCGGACCCTTTAGTACCGCCTTCCCTTTAGCCACCAGGAGTTGCTCACCTTTAAAGTCTCTGTCCCCCGATCCGCGCCACAGGATCACCAACAGCGACAGCAACAATTCGACTTCCAGCGCCGCCGGCTGGCCTAACGCGCGTAAAAAAGATGGGGGCCTTCCCGGCAGCCCTCGCGACCGGGTGGGCGGGGCTTCGGGCAGACTGAGCGGAGGCGGAGGCCGCGCTCTGGGCACGCGCACCCGCGGCGTCCTCCGAGGTCCCCCGGAGTCTTTCTACCGTGTGAGGAAACTGCCCTAAAACAGACCCGAGGGACTTGGAGGCGCTGCTAATTGGCGTCGGGATAAAAATTGATTTTTAAGTATTTAACGGTGGCGTTTGTATTTCCAGTCCTTTCCATTCATATGACGTGTGGGGGTCATTTTTTTTCTTCCAGATCATACTTTTCAAAAAGAAATCTACATCTGTACACATATCTATAAACGACACGGTGTTGTAGTAGTTCTGAAAATAAATTAAGACCAACAGCCTGCTCTTCCTTTTCAATCTCTTCGTGATGTCTGAGTAAGCAGATCAGGCATAGCTCCCCTAGGTTTCTCTGGAGTCGGTGGTACACTTGTGTGCAACTTCCCTGACCAATATCCACCTCCTGGTAACTGTGAGCTCCCTTGTGGTGGGAGGGGATAGCAACGTCCACTAAGTTAAGGGAAGGGTCTGTGACACACAGCAATGTAGGCAGATTAATAGTAAGATGCCTCTGTGAGAAGGGGGTGGGATGTCAGTTCTTTGGGGTCAATAATCACTAGAAATCTTGGTCCTAGAGAGCTTCCTGGATCCTGTCACCGAAGTTCCAGTAGTGACGCTTTTAACAGTAGGAGTAACTGAAGTGGATGCAGCAAACATCAGCACAGCTCTCTGGCTGTAGCATTATCCCCTGTATTGGCTTAGTTTTCAATGGAAACAATGGCATGAGTGGCCCCAGTTTCTCTTCAAATTTATGATGCAGATGCCATTACTTTTTCTTTCGTAGGTGTGCTATTCTGTTTGGAAGTCAAGGTTGTTGCCACTTATATGGGTTCCTCCTTCAAAGAATTTGAGAACATTCTGCTTCACCTTCCTTTGCAGGACATCAAGGGTTCCCAACATTGTGAGATTTTCTCTTTTAAGTTACAGCAGACTCCAGAGCCCTCCCTGGTGGTGCAGTAGGTTAAATCACAGCACTTGAAGCTATCTGAAGCCACTGCAGCACAAATTCAATCCCCTGTCAGGAAGCTGAGGCACATGACACAGCAGACCTCAACTGACATGCCCACTACGCCCCTCAGTAGTGCATTTCAGTAGATCTGCCTGTTCTATGCCCCACTCTCTCCCTGGTGGTTCCTCTCACCCTCCCCCCACCTCTGGCCTGTACTACAATTCTTATATGCATAAAGAAATAAATCTTTTTGGAAAAAAAAAAAAAGTTACAACAGAATCCAGAACAACCCATTTCCAGTAGGAGGAAAAGGCTGTCCGTTTTGTATTTCCCTCCACCCCATTTCTCCTGGTGTCTGTGAGTCCTGAAGTGCTATGGGCATATTTGTATCGGTTTCAAAAGAAGTTGAATTGAGAATAAGTGATGATACCTATACACTGAGCAAATGTTTTAGAACATTTTCAAGTAAAATTCAAGGAAATGGCCCTCCCTGGTGGCGCAGCGGTTAAAGCACAGCACTGAGAAGCTAAAGCCACTTCCTCATGAGTTCGATTCCCGCTTGCCCGGGAGGTGACCACATGGTGTGGCAGACCTCTCCTGACCCGCCCACTACTCCCCTCAGCAGTGTGCTTCGTGGATCTGCCTGTTCTGCTCTCCATTTTGTCTCTGGTGAATCTGGGAAGCCTCTCGCCACCCATGAGCCTCTGGCCTGTACCCCAGTTCTGTGTGAACAAATAAATAAATCTTTAAAAAAAAATTTTTCAAGGAAATACATATTCCTAATTAAAAAACTGAAAAATCAGAAAAAAATAGTATATGAAATAAGATGGTAAAGAGAATGACATAATCAGTGGAAATTATTTTAGTTTCAAGTAAATTATGACAAAAAGGAGGCTAGATAATACCAATAACAGTGATTCTTTAAGAAGAAATAAATATCAAAAAAGTGACCAAGCTTCTTGGATTACTTATAATTCAGATAATAAAGAAGAGACAAATATTAAGATCTGGAAAAAATTAAATATTTTGATGATTTTAAAATAATAACAGTTATAACCTAAGTTTAAACATATACTCTTATTTGTGCCATCAAGTACATTTACATGCTCTGGAATCTTACCGCCCATATGTGAGAAATCCTGCTAGAAGTTTTTCTAAATTTGTTAATACTCTTAAATATTTTCAAAGCATTACCAGTAACAAGAAGCTGACATTTTTCTAAGCAATCAACAATAAATAAAGAAAAATTTTAGGGAATTTCTATGTGTCATATAGCAAAGACCACATTTTTATATCTTTTCTGTAGAAAATATGCACACTCTAAGCAATTAACAAAATGAGTGTTATATGAAGAGTTAGTCTATGCAGCTTTAAAAAAAGAAAAGTATTACAGTTATTTTTGATAGTTAGCTGTTATATTTTTTAAAATGCTTATTTAAAAATGTAAATGGTTGATGTTTTAAAATCAAAATGCCATATTTTAAGTGTTTACATTTTTTGATTTTGTGATTTTTTTTAGGTATTGTCTTTTTTGTGGTTAAGTTAGCTATTCTAAAGAAATATTTATTTTCCTACCTTTTTCCTGCCAATTTGATACTTTTTCGTATAGAGGATCTACCAATTTGCATTTAACATCATGCTCCACAAATTCTGATATGATCTTGTGTAGAAAAATACACTGAAGAAATACGTACCAAGCTAACTTCAGCAATAATAACAACAGCAATTAAATTAGAACATGAAGCACTCTCCCTTGGATAGAACACAGGTCTATATTTAAAAGAGTCTAGAGACCTCATCAAGGGAGGAGGAAAAAAACCACAAAACCAGGGACCTCCCTTGTGACACTGGGGTTAAAGTCTCAGCGCTATCATTACAGGGCCTGAGTTGGATCCCCAGCCAGGTTGCTAATCCACATATCATGCAACAGACCTCTCCTGTCCAGCCCACTACTCCTCCTCAGCAGTGTGTTTCTTAGAACTGCCTCTTCTTCTCCCAACCCTGTCTCTGGTGAATATTCTCACCTTGCCCCCACCCCCACACCTGGCCTAATCCCCAATTCTTGTATGTATAAATAAATGAAAATAAATTTAAAAAAAAAAAAACAGCTGAGATGGTTAAATTGCACCCTGCATCCATCGCCAATGGAAAAAAAAAAATGTTGTAAAGTCATTCTAGAAGCTAAACTACTTTCAGACCACAGTCATGCTGCGGTTTCCCAGGAAAACTCAGTGGCAACGGAGCAGCAAAGGAAGGCCTGCGGACACTTACCGCCCAAACTATAATCAAACTTTGAGAACAGCACCTCCTACTGGGGGAATTCCTCTAATCCCCACGCCAAGGAGAATAATAGTGCAATTAGAAAAAAAAACTCAGGGGAAAGAATTCTACCCTACTCATTTAAAAATAGAGTGAGACAACAAATTAACTAACTCCAAAGAGCCATAGGAAAACTTTGAGTCTCCAAAGAAAAGAAACAAAATGAGCTATTATAATGTTATTGCTAGTAAACCTTACATATATTTTGGAAAGATTTCTCAAGACGAGAGCTTAGAGAGTTGCCCGTTTTTTCTTTTGTTTGTTTTCATTTTTATTTCAGACATCTGCCAGCATACTGCAAAAGTAGAAAGGATAGTATATTGACTCCATGAAAAATCTATCATCTAGATTTTGCATTTATCAGCATATGACCAATTTTATCTACATGCCACTCCCTCCCCTAAAGCCCTCATCAGACTATTTTAGAACAAATGGCAGTCATCATTGTTTTTTTCATAAAGTCTTGAGTCTGTATCTTTAAGAATAAGAATTCTTTTAAAACATAATCATCTTTACCATTGTCATACTTAAAATTTAAGAAAATTATTTAACATTACTATCCAGTAAACAATCAGAATTCATTGATTGTATAATAAATGTTTTTCATTTAAAAATATTTATTTATTTATGTAGACAAGAACTAGGGTACAGGCCAGAGTTGCAGAGTGGGTGGAATGCAGTGAGGGGATTCACCAGAGACAGACTCAGGAGTAGAACAGGCAGATAGACTGAAATACACTGCTGAAGGGAGCAGCAGGAGAGAAGGAGAGGTCTGCTGCGCCATGAGGGTTACCTCCCAGTCTGGAAATTGAACTCATACTGCAGTGGCTGCTGATAGCTTCACAAGTGCTGCAATTTAACCCCTTGCACCACCAGGGAGAGCCCATAAATGTTTTTCTTTTCATGTAATCAGTATCCAAGTGCTATTTACTTATTGCATTGCTAATGTGGATCTTAAATTTCTTTTAATCTATAGGTTCCTTTTGGTTTTTTGCTGTTTATTTGTTGGTAAAATCAAGCAACTTAATAATTTGTTATATTCTAGATTCCACTGATGTATCCTAAGATGTTATGGGAAAATGTTCATCTCCCTGATTTTTCTACAAACTGAAAATTATATACAGTGGCTTAACAAGATTCAGGCTAGATATTTGAGAGAAACCTTGATAGGTGATTCTATGTTGTTATCACGTTTTATCAGGAGACATACAATGTCTGTCTTTTTTTTTTTTTGAACATTATAATTAATCAATGGACTCAAATGTTATCAACCTGGTCAATTATTACAAAGTTCAACATAACTCTCATGTCCTGATTTTAGCAGCTATTGATCAGCAGTCACTAGGTTCATTATACCACATCTTATCTAGATTCATTATACCATATCTTATCTAGGCCCAACACATTAGGGTTCATTCAGTATAAACTCCTGAGTGTTCATAGTTCTAATGCTCATTCCCAGTGCAGGGGCCATGCTGTCCCTCTATTCTCGTAACTATGGAAGACAGAAACTATGGACTTTATTTCCATGAGACCACCTCATATTATATTCAAGCTAAGAGACAATTCAATTGCTGCAACAGAAAAAGAATCAACACCTACAATGTGTCTAATGAACGACTGAGGACACCACTAAAGGT